GTTACACCTGATCTTAGAATTTGATTGGTTGATTGGGATGCGGTTACAGTAACCACGGTTACAAATTTATTAACTCTTTATATAAATATAAAATTTCTATAAATTTTATTTATATTTGCATAAGAATAATTTAATTTACTTTAGCTATTTCTTAAAATGATTATTAAGGCAATCATCGCCAGATGCAGTAAATAAAAATGTTCAGCATGTTCGAAAACCTTCCCCAAACCCTAATTTAAACTTTAAAACCTAATACAAGCTTTACTATTTAACTTAAAAATTTCTCGCGATTTTATAGAAATATATAGATATTTATATAAACGACTACGTAAATCTACATTAAGTTTATAAAGTTTTTGTAAGATTTATTAAAAGTTCTACACAATTTTAACATAGATCTATGTAAAAATGTACTTGTTGATGTTAAACCAGGCTATTTTGTTGTGAAATCGGTCTGTCTAATTTCGGAATTAGGTCTTTAGCGATTTTTTTGTATGCGATATTCCAGAAACCATTAGAAAGCTCATCAAGTACAACAAGCTTTCTAATATCTTTAGATATATCTTTGTGCTTATTTGCTATATGATGGCATAAATGATACAAGGTCTGATCTAAAATAGTTATACTGTAATTAAAATCTTTGCTTATTAAATCTTTTTCTAACAAAATTGTAAAAAAGAAAGAAAAAGAAAGTCCTTAGTATCACGATTTTGTTATACACATACATCCATTTTATTAGATTGCATTTTTCTAAGAATCTTTTCGTCAACATACTCAGGAAATGAATTATCGAAACCAGCTTCTGGAACGGGATGCTTGAGTTCTTTCAAGTTTTCTACACTCGTAAGAAATAAAAATTTAAGTCAATAGTGAAATATAAAATGATTTATATTGCTTAACTCATCATGCAATAATTTAGCTCTCTATAATAACTGTGCGTCTTAATCTAGCAATGACTCCCTTGCCCACATTTGTGAACTTGACTCTGATTCGTTTCAATAATTTCTGGTGTCAAACTATACCAACTTAAAATTTCAAACTGAATTCCTCTAGTCGCACGTTGTGAAGCTCGATCCGCGTTGATGTACAATGTAACTAGGGAAGGTACGTCTTCTGTAGTCCTATAATTATAGTTGTAAATTATCATAATATTTTAATAAATCTTACATAATTTCATACAGCAGAATTTATCGATCGCATTGATGAAATTTTTAGCACCTTTTTTTTTTCTAAACATGTGTTAGCAATATTTTGAGATAAGATAGTTTTTTGTTTACTAACCTTTTCCTTATTAAAAAAGTATATGAAAGCATCCGGTATAGCCGACTCAATCAATGTTAAATCTTTTTAAAGCATTCAATTCTTTCTTTCCAAACGTCAGCTGAACGATTACATTTTGGGATTTTTAGTCGAATCAAGAATATTTCAATATGTGAAACTGGAAGAAAAACATTATGATGATGAATCATAGCCAATATTTATAGCCCTAAAAATTCAAAACTTACCTTAAATATTCACAGGAATCGTCCCTATATATCATGCCATTTTCTTTCCAACATTAGTGCTACTCCGGGGATCCAATCAATGAGTTCTTCTAAATTTCTGTAAAATGATAATGATATATCAATCGTAGTGATTATAATTATAACTATCACTGATATCACTACTTTCAGCCTTTTCATCATATACCTTGATTTATCCGCAAAAACATCTTCATGATCTTTGATTTTAGGCTACGCAAAGTTAATTTTTTCATTTTGCATTACCCGTCGACCCTAAATTTTCAAACATCTTCATGATCTTCGATTTTAGGCTACGCAAAGTTAATTTTTTCATTTTGCATTACCCGTCGACCCTAAATTTTCAAAAATCCAAATTTTTGCAAATCATTATTATTATTTTTTTTTTTTTTGCAATAGCAATTTATTTAAGTACAGTTCAAAAAATTAATACTTATTTAATTAAAATATATAATATGTAAGAATCACCCAAATCTAATTCAGAACATAGACCATTTCGGCATGGAAGACAGTTGATGAACATAAAACATGAGCACGGTCGTCGGAAGGCGTAGTAATTTACCCGGTAAGTTATCTCCTTCTCTTTAGTGATCATTTTTTCCCAATAATCTTTTATATGATATTTCAAATTAATCTATTGTGTAATTTAAAAAAAAAAAAAAAAATTAACAGTAGAATCGCAACGCCGAAATTTCTCGAAACAAGGCGGGTCGCAGTGTTAAGAATATAGCTGAGCCAAGACTTAACACCACTTGAGACAGTAAACTCTGCATACCTCTGGAATCACAAATGTATCAAGAGGCCCCTTACGACAAGGATAGTTTCATTTATCACCCAAACAAAATAAATGGCACTTCTCCAGGGCGAAGCTTATATCAAGGAAAACAACTTCATAGAAGTTGCCTCAACACTTACTCGGGACAGAGAATCCTGCATATCCCCAGTATCAAGTAGAAACATGAACTAGAGGCCTCTTCCACCAAGTATATCGAAAAACTCCAACTCTAGCGAAGCAAAACTACCTTTCTTTATGTTTCTTGTAAAAATTGTCTTTTTCTGAGGCCCTCGAGAGAATTTCATTTAATATCTTCGGTATTGACTTATGTTTAAAATTTAATGCACAACAAATTGCTCGGGTCTTAAACTTGTCAAAGATTCCCTTAAGTCTATTGAAAAGTAAGCGTGATTAATACATAAGCCCTTCCTAATCGTATATTCAACCGTATATTTTTATTATACAATACTTAGAACGAAAAACTCCTATTCTTACCATACTTATCTTTTTGGCTCTTTGGCCGCGATATGACTTTTAGTCGTCTTACAAAAATAATTTTATTGGTAAGCACCTTCTGATTAATCAAAAAAAAAAAAAATCTATACGTATACGTATTTCAGTTTGGGATTTTACCAAATTTGGATATCGATTCTGGAACGTTCCAATGGAACCCTCAAACGGTGATTGACTTCTTTCCGATGAAATCAAGGTGTGCCCATTTGCTTATAGTTAGCCTCGTTTTTCTTTTTAACTCAATAATCGAGAAATTCTTGTATCGCTATATGTTTACTCAGACGGTAGTCCGTGGTAGAGTTGTGATTCATTGATCTACAATCCGTATATTTATTAAAAATCCGAATAGCTGCGGATTGCAGATCATTTGTTCAATATGTAAACAATTAGGGTAGCTGCGCAGCGTGTGACGCGGCGCAGGACCAGTACGATCACTTACGCCGTTGTGAAAAGCTCAAGGA